AAAAAAATTATCAATATACCATTACTTATCTTTTAATAATAGGATCTCAAACTCTCAATGCGAATTTTTTAAACATCTAAGTGCCACAAGATTTAAGTTATCATGTAGAAATCCAAATTCAGGTGACAGATCATCAATCTTGGAAAACAAAATAATTAAAATGTAAACAATTAGAAAAATCTTGCCAAAGATTAGGCAAGATATTGGCTACACAATTAGGTCAAACACTTCCACCAAGCAAGGCACGAGGTTGATCCAAAGAAAACCAAATCTGTAAAGCAAGTAATGTTAAAATATCTAGTCTCAAATTACAAATTAAACATTAGAGGAAACTAGATGGAAAGGGATATAGCCTGCACAAGGCCATCTCTCTCCAAAGCACTATGCAAAAAGAACAATTAAACAAAAGAGAACCTACAACTGATGATTTGGTTTAGTGGTAAAGTAAAAGTCTTTTTCCTTTAGGATTTTGCTATTTAATTACAATCTTAAAACATTTATATTCCAAAATACAATTATTTGGTCACCAGAAGTTAACAGGAATATCCCAACATCTAATGATATCCAACAGGACCAACACTCATCAATTGTCGTCAAATGACAATGCCATCACTTTACAAGAGGCATAAAACATGGATATTTACCAAAGATATAAACATGTCAACATGAAAATGTGGAAGAGAGGAAACATCAATCATAACAAGGATATATGAACCAATGAAACAATAAGAGCAGACATATTTATTGCTTTTTACTATTAGCTCTCTCCCTCTCTAACTCCTGCTTAAGCCATGCAAGCTGCGTATCTGCTCTCTGCAGTGAAACAAACATCTCTCTGTAATCTTGCTTTATAAACAGGCGAGTGCCTAACATAAACAGCTCAGTACCCTGTTCAAGACCAGGAAGGTTTCTCAATAATGTCATACACTCTAAAATGCTACATCTCGGTGGATCAGTCTTTCGTGATATTTTTGTTAAGCTGGATTGAGAATGATAACCCTTAACAGAAGCACACGTGTGATCTAATTTACTCTTGGTGTAGACTGCAGCACCACAACATCCTGATGTATCAATCCCCACTTTCACATTCTTGCCTTTTCCCTTCTTAACTTGTTTCTTGTTTGATTCTTGGCCATCTAATGTTGTCTTCTTCCTCTTTTTATTGATTCTTGCTAATTGGCTCTTCGAGGACACAAGATGAACCTTTACATCATTTGAGTCACCAGTCTCCTCTAACTTAATAACACCTTCACCTCCTACATCTTGCTTAGTTGGAATGATGAGTCTTCTTGGTCGTAAACATCTCTTTTCACCTCCAGGCACTACCTCTGAAAACATGATGTTCATCTCTGTAAGATTTTCCAAACCACCTTCTCGAAACTTGGCAACTTCAGGATTCTCCTATATAATTTGTAAAAAGGTTTATTTGCCACATTCAATAATCAGTGAGCAAATATAGAAGTACTATGAAAAGAACTAGAAAATAAAATGCATACAAACCTGTATCTTCTCATCCCACCATTGTGCACCAGCAATAATTTTATCACTTTTGTGATCCCACTTTAAATTTGTTTCTTGTCCTACAAGTTGTTTCCATAACAACCAATCATTCTTTAATTCATACCACTTACATATCAGTTGTTTCTTATCATAATTTCCATTTGCTCTCGTATTGAATTTTGCAGCCACATCTCCCCATCCTATCTTACTAGGGTCATTACCAGCATTGACTTCTTCTGCACACACTTGACAATAAATTTTGGTGCTTACAGCATCCCATTGTATCTTTTCCCACTCATCTTTTGATTTTGACAGTGCTGCATCTGGCTTATATACTTCTCTTCTCGTATTTCGTTTGAAAAGTCTTACTTCTGGTTCTTTTTTACCCTGCCAAAAATCTAATTACATTAAAATGTAATTGTAAAGCAACCATATGGAAAGAAAAAAAAATACTTGTCAACTAAATGCTAAACACATGCCAAATGTTATTGCCAAAGAAATCAAAATCAACAGCAAATATGCCAATGCTATTGATCAAACCAAATTGATGCTTCCACCTACATGTATAATGTATAAGAAGGCTTTCAGATGTGGCAATATTTGAAACAATCCATTGTATGTTGCAAAGAATTTGAGTATGGAATGTGAGATAAAGGTAAGGTGTCACCACAATCTATTACCCAAAAAAAGAAAGACTGATGTAGCTTTATGCATTTTTTTCACTTGTTTTCATTTATGTTAAATAAACATCATGGATAAATCTTGGTCATTCAGAAACACAAGGGTCACCTATCAAACTATAATGCAGAAGACAATAGATTAATTCTGACACCAGAAGACATTCAAACTTGCCACAAGAAAACCCATGTAGTATATATAAGCAAGGAGTAATTGTAATGATTGTTGACCAAATAGTGTCAAATTAGTGCTAGGGTATGATTCCAGAGAGGAGAAAGGGAGAAAGAAAAACAAAAGAGAATCAAAATAACTGGAATTTCTTTAAGTATCTCAAATGAGCATGGACATTTAGGGAAGTTCAAGAAATTTCATTGAAACTCCTATAACCTCTAGCCATATAGGTCATACTCATTCCTAGAAGTTAAAATCAGACTCTAGTGCTTTGAAGAACTTGACTTCATCTTCTATAGAGTAGTTGTTCTAGGAGCCAGGCCAAACAGACCCTGAGAAGATATTGAATATGTAGTGCTAAAATGAAAGGCAAATAGAATGGAATGAAGAATGGACATTGAATTACAACTTCTTACAATATACATACATGCACATAACATAGTCTGAAAGTGTTGAAAAAAGAGTGGCCACTATGACCAACTTAGTGATGCAATATTCATCCATAATGTTTAAAACAGGTTATATTTTTGTTCCTCATGAATATGTATTGAAATCACATGAATAGGAAAATACCTCATTATATAAAGGGTGTAAATCTCCTTCAATAGATGCTTCCTTCTTTATTGTAGTATCAGCATCCTGAGACATTGTTTCCTTCTTTATGGTAGGGGTATCAGCATCCTCAGACTTTTTGGTAATCATTTCTATAGATTTTCTTTATGGACAACAAAAGACATCAGCAATTAAAAGTGGAAATATTCTAGCATGATTTCATAAGCCATAGAAGACTTTATGAACCAGCACTGATTTATTATTTTTTTTTCTTTCTTGATCAGCAAAAAAGAATTTACTAACCAGAGTACAAGCAGTACTTTGACACTTACACGATGACTCCATTGACTGTTTAATACATTACATCATGAATTCTCACATAAATCATTTCCAAAACAATACAAGTGCATGTCCCATCATAGCTATTTGTCTATGGTCAATGGGAAAATATTCACAAATCTTAAATGATTAAGAGTTTCACTTGAAACAGGTAAAGGTTATGGTAACTGGTAACATGACAGTGCTAAATCCAAAACTATGAATCCGAATGTGACTGAGGGAATAGCACAGCAAATGAGGCAGGAAATGTTTTGAGAGTTGGGAAAAGAATGCCTATAGCAGTAGATATATATATATATATATATATATACATATAGATATAGATATAGATATATCTAAAAGAAACCCCCCTAAGTTAAGAATTGCCAATATGCATAGTAAAAGTTTAAATGATTTCTATCTTTTCATGTTCATGATAATTGACAATTACATTCCCAAAATGCATGGTAAAAGTTATAATACTTTCTACCTTGATGATTCAATCACATAAATCATAGGACCCAGGACAATATGATTGGTATATAAATGAACCTCCAACGAAAAAGGATGAAAAAGGATCAAAGATTAGAAACACAGTTTCAGGATAAAAAATGCCCTTCATTTTTTTTTTTTTTTGGTATAAAAAATGTGCTTTTACTTCATCAAATTAGCAATAAGCTAGTGCTTAAACTCACCATACCCTACCGCACCTTGGCAAAATTAACACATTCATAAGCGGACACTGAACCTAGTCTTTGTTACACAGTTTATAATAGCAATTCCCCCACCGTATCTAGTGAACAGGTTACTTCTAAACAACCAAACAAGACATCTGCTAAGTACAAAATCCCCAAATTTCCATTCCTGCAATCATTATTATTTGCCAAAACAATTCACTCCAATCCAAGCCATTTAAAGCAAAGTTTAAATACAGGATAAAACCAGTAGTACTCCTCTCCTACTCCAAATATACAACCAAAACAAGAAACTAACCAAAACCCACAAATCAAATTCTCACCTTTTCATCAGAGCAATGTAATTCAACTGATCCAATCAAACCCCGTTACACCCCAAACCCAAACAAAACATGCAGCATAAAAAAATGGTAAAGAGAGACATATAGGATAAAATACCCAAAATTAAATAAGAGTACTAAACAATATCTCACCCCTTTTCATCCAGCTCCACTCCCAACATCCCCATCATTTGCTTTTTGGACCTTATTTGCAATACCTCCTTGTGTGAATTTGAGTGTAATTCTCTTGAAAATGTTGGGCTCTTGGCAGGACGGTACTCAGGACACAGCCGCCCCAACCTGTACCTCACCCCACAAGCATTACAGAGCGTTTTAGGTCCAAGCGGCCCCTCCCGCCATTGTGGAGTTCTCGTAGCTCCACAATGCAGACATCCCTTCTCCTTCTCCTTCTCCATCGTCTTCACACTCTGTACCGAATTTCCACTCTTAACGTTGGAATGAAACGGTGAAACCTCCGGCTATCTTTTCTGTTTTGTTTTTCTTATGAAATTTCAGAATAATACGGATATATTGCCATTAAAATGATGATGTAATAATTAAAATATCATTAAAAGAATTTTTTTTTAAAGATGATAATCAAGATTTTATTAACTGCATCTTGATAATTATGAAAAATGATATAGTAATTATAATGAAAAAATATTTTGTAATTCAAATTAC